ATAGATAATAAACAACTCGCTAAACCCAATTATGCAGTCTTTCATCTCTTGCCAGCTAAGAGGAGACAAAAGGGTTCCCAGATAGTTAGAAAACCCATCCATACCAAAACGTTTTGGCTTAAAGTAGTCTTTTCATTGGCCAACAGCCCTGAAACTGTCCTCTCACTAGCTTCTCTCTTGCACATGGGAGAAAGGTACACCAGCCACAGCAGAGATGACGGTTTGTTCCACTCTCTGCTTTAACAGAGGAGCCCATCCAGAGATGTGGGTACCAAACCTGGGATCTGCGTATGCGTTTTGGTTTGGGTGCTGCTCATAAGCTGGTACAGGTAAATAGAAGGCAGCTAATACATGACATGGCCTGAATAACACTTCAGAAGTAAACCAGCAGTTTAAGGGAACTGTAGGGACAACTTTCAGGATCAGAATTATTATTAGTTTAGCAGACTTCCACACAAATATCATTATATATATTGAAAGCAATAATTTCATGTTCATGTATTAAGTAAGATGGTCTAACGCTGTTGACTTCAAAACAGCAGTCAATTTACACTGACCAAGAACTATATAAATCTGTTTGTATTAAAATCACAATAGTTTAAGATGCAAATTCCTCCTTTTTCTTCTGATCCTGTTCTAATGGCTCACTGCTTTCTACTTTAAATATTATCAGTCCAGGGTTGGCTGCTCTCCTTCAAATTCCAACCAAGATGACAAAAGTGACTGAAGTTGAGAAGAATATTTTTATAGTAAGTAAATGCAATAGGCTCTGAAAGGTTCTAAAATAAACATTTATAAAAGCAAGGTAGGCATTTCTTTGTCAGTTAAAGTACTCATGGCTCAAAAGTTAACATATATTTTTATGTGTTGGCTTATTGGATCAGACATGGGGACTTTTATTACAGAAAGTGGAAACAGATTGTGGAAAAGAATGTCAAAAATGCAGATGTAAAAAAATTTTACTCTCACTAAAGTTGGAGGCAGTAACTGGTTTGACTCTGAGGTGTTACACGTGCAGTGAAAGTGGACTAAGTGAGATGAGAGTGGTTTAAATTAAAAAAAAAAAAAAAAAAAAAAGAACTTGACTGAAGTTGACTTCCACAAAAAGAACTTCACCATAAAAAATAAACAGCTAGAGACTGAACATCATCATGAAAGGAATGTAACGCAACTGTTACAATACATTATGCAGATTTCAGAAACACTTCCTTTCAAAGTCATAACCTTACATTAAATGTTCAGCAAAATTAAATGTACAATAAATAAAATCAAGTACTTGAGGAGGTCTTCGGATTATTTCATTGATCTACTCATTATCAACTTCTGAAAAAAAGTATTTCTAGTTGCAATTCATCCTGCAAAAGCAAAATGCAGAAATTTCTAACTTTAGTGTGTTTTATGTCAGCCTCTCAGATGAGTAATGATAATATAAATAATAAAGCTTACTCTCATTTTCTCTTGCTCCTCTAAAATAAATGAGAGCATCACATTAGTCTCCTCTGAACTCTGTGGCTGGTGAAAAACCCCATGAGATGTATCTAAAATTTCATTTCTTACAACTGGTGTATGAATAGTACTTCTGTGGTTATAATAAATAACTTTGCCTGAGACAGTTTTAATGAGAATGGATCTCCTTCTGGTTAGCATAACGAAAAAATTCCATCATTCTACGTAGTTTCATTCTTTATGGTGAAAAGCTGAATGCTCTATAAAGAAATGAAGACACGTTCCTTCACATACTCACGAGAATAAAAGTTATGGAAGATGTCCAAATAAGAATGTGGAAGTATCTATTTTTCCAATGGTATTTACAGATACAAATGCATCCGCACAGATTGAATTAACAGTATATTCTGCATAATCTGTGTCAGTTAAAATAAACTGTAAAAATCACTAGTATTTCAACTCAGATTTTTTTTTTTTTTTTAAAAAACAATAGGATTGCATGCAGTGCCCTGCTCAACTCATCAGAAACTGGAAAGGAGCAAATATAACAAAAGAACTCCAAGATCATCCAGTCCAGTCATCCACCTACCACCAATATTTCCCCACTAAAACACATTCCTTAGTACAACATCCAAGCGTTTCTTGAACACCTCCAGGGACAGTGACAATCACAACATAGCAGTAACTTACCAATGATTTATAAGACCTAACTAGCAACAAGCTTTAAAAAAAAAAGTCACAACTAAAACACGTCAGTTATACCTAGGAATTCATTCTTGTTTGTTTTAGAAGGTTGCGGCTCATCCTGAATCTCCATCAAAAGATTGGCCTCCCTTCCCTTTCCTGGAAGAAAGGCTCACTATCATCAATGGGTTTTTCCCCAGTATGCACATACATTAAAAAAAAAAAAAAAAAAAAAAAAAAACCAACAACAACTAAAAACCTTTCACAGAACACAAGAAAAAGTGATAAAGTGATAAACGTTCCCAATTTTCAGAGTGTAAGCAGAGCCTAGGAAACAACAAGCAAACTTGGTTGCCTGAAAAAGAGAAGATAATTCAGATTTTTCTGCATTTTTCACATGGAAAACCTGTAGACTCTTCTAGCAAGTCATCCAGTGCCACTAGTCACTTCAGAAAATCAAAAGCTTTCACACTGCACTCCTCCAGAACAAAAATAATAGAAAACAGTACAACTGCAATTAAACTGAGACATGAGGAATGCCCTTTTCAAGACACAACTCTCCAGCCCCATATTTTAGTGGGATTTTTTTTTTTTTTAAAATGAGGAAAAACACAATTTTTTCATAACTGGGTTGCAACAATCTGATGAAGACTGCACAGTGGATGCAGAATCAAATATTTATCTGCAATATAATTACACACAAAAATGTTTGTTTCTCAGTGTTCTAGGAGACATAACAAATTCACCCACAGGAAGAAAGCAAATGAAAGTAATTTTTTGGCATTTGAACTTTTTTGGATGTTTACTTACCAGAAATAATGCTTTTTATTTATACACATACATACATTTTAATTTTGCCAGAACAAACCTTTAAAAAAACAGATGGCCACAGAGAACACTACACCCCATTTAACCATTATATTTCAATAATAAAGCCCCAACATTCAGAGCAATAGCAACAAAGCCAGTGCCTACTTAATAGTTTTACGTGGGATTTGAACTAATAAAGTCATGGTGATATTAATATGCCTGCTGCAAACAGACTAAATACCAAGCAACAAAATAAGTCCAAACAGAAATATATCTTTGTTCACTCACTGTTGGAATGCCGTTTCACTGCTTGGAAAATGGCTCCCAGCATCATCTCGTCTCTGAGTTAAATAAAGGACCTACACTATCAAGTTTATCTCCTCTGCAGAGCCACCTTCTTTGTGCACATAAACATCAATTTATCAAAACATCCTGTGACAAAGAGTTAAAAAATAGCCCTTGCAAAGTCCCAACTGCAAAGCACATCATTTCCTCACCTCACTGTTTCTTTTCTACCATGATATTCTTTCAGTCTTTTCTAGTCCACATCCCTATCTTTTCCCAAAGTTGCATGAACATAAGTTCTAAGATCTCAAAATTTTATGCCAAATAGAATTCTAGCCAGATGTAACAAAGCCACATCTGGAGAAGATAATGCAATGATGTGACTACTAAATTAAAGCAGAAGATACAGCACAACTGAAGCCTGAGGCATATGGCAATTCACTTCGTAGCTACATCAGAAAGCTGCTGGTGAGGAGAGAGGGAAAGGCTATTAAGTTTTGCCAAAGTCATCAGACTTCTCGTTAAAGTCTTTCCTCAAATATGGAAATGTGAACATGAATAAGTGAATGAGCTTTTATGAGATTCTCCTGTGCAAAGATGGAGATGGATTTCACTGCATCCCTTCTCCTTTATCAGAATTCCATCAACAAGATGCCTCTCACTGAGCACTGCAGGCCAAGTTCAGCCTTATCACAGCCATACACTACAGAACAATGATCAAGCTTTACAGATCACACAAGGCCTTCAAGGGTCTTCACGTTAGCAACCATTCAATAGCATTTGCCTGAAATACCTCTTTACAAAATTATTTTTAACTACCCTTTCTCTCCATTCTGTGCTAGGATTTTCGGACTTCTCTGTCACACTGAACATGTGTATTTCTTTTCTTTGTATTTATCTGTTTTTGGTTTATATTTTTAAGCCTTTCATTTGCCAAAGACTATCATTTTCAATCTTTATTTCTAATTTCATGGATTCAGGAGAGCTGGCATTTCTAGATTATTTTCAGTTCAGCGTTGTCAAAAACTTCAGTAATTAGATGTTACCACATCTTTTCTAGGTGATGAAGAACTAAAGGCCCAACAAGCTTGACAGAAGTTGCAAAGTCTGATCTTTATCAATTCTTCTCCCAGTTTCTTCTTGTCAGCTTAGCTTCCTTACGTTCAAACAGTATCACAAGTTTTACCAGCCCTTAATATAAAAAAAAAGGCACTTTATGACAGTTTTCTATGTAATACACTGAAGCCAGGTTGGTAAACATATCTACTGTAGTAAGCGTGACACAAGTAAAGGTGGCATAGCTACTAACATGCAGAACTTCAAATTAAATGGCAACGGTACATAAGGCCTTATTCTCAAAGTACAAGCCCTGAGCAATCCAGCTAAAGGTGAAACCCCTGACAGTTCTGACAACTAAGCAGCTGTAAACAGTCATCCTTTCCTCCTGAAATTCAATAGATCTTCAGTCTCTAATATCAGTAACGCTGTGCTTTTATGGACATCATAAAATAGATTTAGTTATCTATGCAAAGGAGAAAGCGTTTCTTTGTTTAAGTAGTCCCTCAAGCCTTTCAAGGCATTTAATGGAATACAAGTAATTAAGTTTGGATCCTGAGTGCAAGTGCAGGAAGACCTTGTAATTGTTTAGATGTGTCTGCACTTTCTTTCCAACTGACCTTACTCAAATTACAGTGTCAAATTTTTTATCCCTCAAACACCACCTGAGTTTTCTAAGAATCTGTGGAAGGCTACAGCCTTTCACTAACAGCACATACCTGGGGAAGGGGGAGAAAGTGTCAGCAAAAACAGCATTGCAGATTTGTATTGTGAACGTTTATATCTGCCTTCTTCATGTGGTTCCCATTCAGCTCTCAAAATGCAACTAAGGAAAAAAATAAAAGATGTGTTTAAAAGTTTTGCTGTTGCTAAACTAAGTCTTATTTGCATCTGCCGACAAAAAGTTTTATTAGCATAACAGTGGAAAGTCAATAAACCAAATAGAAGCAAAAGAGCAAATTCTCTGACAACTTTTGTTAATGACAAACAGAAAGAGCTATGTGAACACTGTCAAACAAACTCTGGGGCAGATCCAACTCATGCTGATGCCTGCTTTTCAGCTTTTGACTTCAGGAACATCATTACTGGACCTTGAGTTTGTTACACTGGCATGTATTACAATTCCAAAATATAGATATTCTTGGGAGACAACCTGAATGGACAGATGTATTAAAAAAGTTTGACATTATACACCATTTTCAAATAGGCTTTATCAGAACTCTAGGAGAAATATCATCTAATTCTCATTCTCTCAGTTAATTATGTTTCTAAGAGATTCTGTATCTTCATTTCTATTTTCTTTCTTGCTTAATGCAAACTAAGTAAAGTATATTTTGTGGAAATTTTTCAATGCTGCCCCTTAAATTCCTTCTCTGCCTCCTTCGTACACATACGTACATCAAGGAAATTTGTGACACAGGCAGAATGTAAAAGCAGACAAGAGCCAGCAGTGTGCCCCCACACACCAGAAAGCCAACCATACTCCATGATGCATAAATAGAATCACAGCCAGCAGGTCAGAGAGGTTTTTTTTGTCTTTTTGTTTGTTTGTTTGTTTTTACAGCGAGAGTGGTAAGGCACTGGAACACGTTGCCAAGAGAGGTGGTGCATGCCTCATTACTTGTTTTCCAAATTAAGGCTGGAGGGTCTCTGTGGACGTAATGGAGCTGTAGGTGTCCCTGTTCATTGCAGACGAGTTGGACTACATAGCCTCTTTAAGGTCTCTTCCAAATCAAACAATTCTATGATTCTATATACAGTCACATCAATACTCCATGGAGCAGAGTATACTTTCTCCAAAACTGGAGAAACGATGACAAGGTAACAGTACAAGAAGAGAACAAGTGGATTGTTACTCTGTCCCAGTGCATACTTCCAGCTGCTAAAATTGCTCAATTTCTGATACTTCAAAAGTAGTATCTTCTTAGTATATTGAATTATGGCTTATAGTAAATGACAAAGACTCACTGACTGTGTTGACTATTAGAAGCAATCTTCTCTATTGTTGACTATTAGAAGCAATCTTCTCTCTACAACCACGCAAAAAATAAATATTACCCTCTACAGCTTGCATGGTACAGACCACACAGGCATTGCTACAAATACCTTCTTCCACATAAAGGGAGTAAGGTTAATCTCTGGTAGATAACTGCCAAGCAATGTGACAACTTAATCAAGTCTGTAATCAGCAGCTTCCAAGGAAACAGAAGAAAAACAAAACAAAAGCAAATCCACAGTCGCAGAAGGTATCACACTGCATAACAACGTTTCATGTCTCAATTACGTATTTAGCAATCTACTTATCTTTTAAACTGCTAACATCAAGAAGAAAAACACTGAAGACTATATTAATCCGGAACATGTTCTAAACCCCACTAAAGACTGAGAAATAATTTAAAAATGACCTATGCAAGGTCAATAGTGAATTAAAACACGGAAGGGAAGAGGGGGATGGTAAACTAGTACAGTACTTTTGAAGAAAAAATAATTCATAAAGCCAGAAGCAGCTTCTTGGAAGAAGAATGTACTACGTAAGAGAGTTAATGTTACACATATCTCTACCGCAAGAATGCCTGGAAGGCCTGTTTCAGATCATAGCCTTACTGCATTAAGCATTATATAAATCCAAACAAACTTAATAAATAAACCAGCTAGAGATCAGTCTCCAAAGTCTCCTCTGACAGCAACAGGACTTAAAGTTACATCACATCACGGACCAAAGTTATGGTTCTGTGCTGTTAATTACGTATGAAGTCACAGCTGTTAACACCTTGTTATTCCCTGTCCTTCACAGTTACACTACTAGAAAAAAAGGGTTAAAGAAATTCAAGTTTGAGCATTAAGAATAATTTGAGTCTAATTTATACAGAAAAATTGAAAGAGCTAATTAGTAAAGGTATTTTAATGTTTGATATTAAAAAAAGATCACTTCAAACATTTAGAGTAAAATCCTGGGAATTTGAACTGAAAACAACAGAAGTAGTTTTAAAAGGCAGAGAATTAAAAAGTGTTTAAGCAATATGAATAAAAAGTCATCCTCAAGGGAAAAATTCTACAGTATCAATGTATCAAAAAGCAATTTTTGTTTTCTCCTAGCATAACAAGATCAAAACTTCATATTCAAGTGTAGAAAATTATAACCTACTCTACCAAATACGTAACATTTCCTCATGTAGCTTAATCGCTACAGGAAAAAGATCCTTAAAATGCCAGAGTCTCTATCTCATCTTACACTACTGAGAAATGAGGTTCTGTTAATAGAAATTTGCATTTTTAAACCCACGATACACATCCTTGTGAGTATATTTATGTATATTGAAGCAGATAGCAAGAGACTTTGCTTTTAATTTTTTAGGCAAACGTCCCAACTTTAGAAGCTTTGACTCCTTTGAAAAGACATATTTTGGTTTTAGAATTTTGCTGGCTATAGGTTTAACAACAGAACTTCAGATAAATGTATATTTTGAATTTTACAGCTGTGGTAGCTTTCACCCCTCTTAAGCCAGGCCCTACTTTTTCTGCCAAAATGTGCAATTACTTGATAACTAGCAGAATCTGACTCGAACTTGTATCCTCAGTACTGACTTCTCAAGTGGCTATCACAAATGGCCACTGAAGGGCAATCAAACTGACAAGATTGCAGCAAGTGGGAAGCTTGCTTATCTTGTACTTGTCAACATGTACATAGCAATTGTCCTCTCTGCCAGGAGCCCCGAAAGCTCTGCAAATTGGAACCTCCTGCTTCAGCTGACTGCTTGGCAAGTTGTTCTTGCACTACAGCTGAACACTGATTTTCTGGATGAAGATTTATTTTATTTAAAATTTCTGAAACACAAATCACTGAAATTAATTTTTTAAACATACAATTTTATTGCACTATTGGATAGATAAGTGTTTGATATGCAATTCTATTCCAATAAAAAGAATTTTAAAAATAGTTTTGGATCTGAGCTGAATGAAAAAAAAAAAAATTTTCCAAATTTCCAATGATTCAACAACGGCTCGGTGATGCGCATCCACTAATTGCATCTCTAATAGCACAAATGATCCAACAGAAGCTGCCATGCTCTTACAAGCACGTTATTTTAAGGAAAATCTGGTAGCTGGGCCAACTCTGAAGTCAAAGACTTCCCAGCCCAAGAAACCATTGTAAATACTGTGCAAATACACACCTACTGAATTAAAGCCACGATATTCTATGATATTACTCTCATCATATACAACACAATATTCTATGGTACTATGAACTGTGATAGAACTATGGTTCTATGATATTACTGTGGTACTGACATGCTAAAATAATTCACTAGCATATCATCATTAGTTCAAACTACATAATTGCGCATATTAAAAGTGGTGCAATTTATCCATTGAGGAGACAGGAATAATAAAGTCATTTATCCTCCGCACTAACCCTGCCAGATGTATCTTCTAATTTCACTACATTAAATGATAATTATTTGCATTACGTTATTCGCTAGTAGTTACAAGAGAGTGGGGTCACATTCATGCATAAAGCTGAGCATTTTAATATTAAAAAAAATTCAATTTATAAGGAGCCAACAGATAATGCAAGGCTAGATACAAGTAAACATGTAGAAGGCAGATGCCTAAGATTCTCCAACAAAGCAGAATCAATAGCTGTGGTAGAAGAGAAAAGCACGAGCTCTCCATCCTGTCAGACAGCTACCTCCCATTCAGCTAGACACCTCTGAACATCTGCCCACAGAGCCTTGCTCCAGGTTACATGGAATGAGCAGTAAATCCATCTCCTTGAAGATCCCACTAGCTCTTAATCATTAGAGAGCCCTTCCTTTTTTGGTTTCATTCACTAGGTTTAGAATAAGAACATACCCAAAGCAGTATGACACAGGACTGAGGGACATAGATATACCTCTTTTCCCTTGAAGCAGTTGCAATTGCAGTCAAAAGTTTTGGAGCATTCTTGATTTCTGGAGGTAGTTTTGGTTTGTTTCTTTGGGGTTTTTTTGGGGGGGGGAGGAGAGGAGGAGAGGAGGAGGGAGGGGAAAGAGGAGGCAGGCGGAGGGATGGTTTCAGGCTTAAGCAGGTACAGTAAGATGGTTCCACGCTTCTTATTACCTTATTGCCACAAATAACAAATGATACTTGCTATCAATTAACCCACACAAAAAAACCCACTGTACAAGGACCAATTGTGGTAAATAGAGGACATTCACAGACAGACAAAAGTCATTCTGGACAATAACTTTACAAACTATATCTGACTCACTAAATTCTATCTTGTCATTCAATCAGTATTCCCCCATATTACTTGTAAAGTAACATGATACTCCATGCAAATAATGAGGACAGTGGAAAAACAGTTCTAGAAACCTTTCCATTGACTTGAAGGGAGAGTGAAATAAATCGGTTTCCTGGGAAAATATAAAAACAAATGGTTTAATCCCTGCTTTCGTTAGAGTCACTGTGGAACAAGAAAATCTTTCCAAAACAACTTAATAACTTCGTTTACAGCTATTCATCAGCACTAATCCAGAAGGCTTGTTGACATCAATCTATCCCTCACCATTCAGGAAAATTACTTTTTCTTCACTTCCCTTCTCTCTACAACATAATTTAGAAGTAAGAAATCTGAAAAGTTTACCAGCATAACATCTACATTTAAATCCTTCTCCATCAGCAGCATGCTATCAGTCTCAGTAGAAAGTGGCTAACACTGTTTGCAAAAGCATTCCTAATACATTCTCCTTGGTTCCTCAGTTAATGCCAGAATAACTGATAGCTGAAGTGCTATATGTTCTGTCTTCCTGTGTAATAACAACTCAGTTTTACCTTAGTTTGGGGATGTTAAATACTGAACAGATGGATTTGATGCATTATTCTATTTACTCTCTGACCCACCCAGAAAAAACTCAGCCAGGAAGATGACAGGCATGATATAATGGAAAACCCAAAATAAGGAAGCAACAGCCAAACAAAGCAAGAATAAAATTATTCTGCAAATTCACTTAATCTAACTCCAAGTTTCAAGGTTTCAAGTTTGACCCTCCTCCCAGCATCATTAAAGCCTTGTTTTGTTCCCCCCAAGTATCAATCAGCAGATACATGCTAAAACCATCCCACAGGATGGGATGAGCTCATGCTTGGACTTTGTGCTTCTGCAACATACTTGTCTGAAAAGTAACAAATAGGTTTACTTTTTTCTACAGACACTTCACTATTTGCTGGAAAAAAGCAATAGACATTAAACCTTACATTCTCATTCCTGATAAGAATGTTTCTAGTTTCCTGTTTCTAGTTCACTTGGTCACCAGCCGTAATCTGGATGATGAGTGATGCCATGATCATAAATTCTTATCTGACATGAAAACTGATGTTAAAAATCTGCCTTTAGCTTTTGAGTTCCTTGTCTGTGCACTGCAATGCAAGTCTGCTTTTCATAACAAATATAAAGAATCTTGAAAAGGTACATACAACTGTACTTGGAACTGCAGTAAGTGTTAGAGCTAATTAATCTATTCACGTTTTTATTAACATTCTCACCTTGTAACTGAAGCATTACTCAACCAAACTGCTCCCGTTTCAAGAGGAATCTCTGTAAACAACATTCAACCTTCAGTTTGCCACCTAGGAAAGAATTATCCACGTGCATTATTTATCTATTTCTGGTAGATCATAGTCAGAGCTGTTTGATTTGTCTTGGAAGCAATCAATTCACATATAACAATAAGTATATAAGGCATTTATTAAAGCATGGGTGAACTTATTCTTATAGAATAATTATTGTTAGGTTTTTTTTTGTTACCAAAAAAAAAAAAAAAAAGAAAAAAAAGAAAAACCAATCTATATTATAAGCAGCAAGAAGGAACAGTATTTACAACACAGAACCAGTTTCATTACTCTGAAACCAGTTTCCTCCCACTGAATTTAAGGAATTAAGAAGTTTTAACTTCCAGCTTGCTTACAAAAAAAAAAAAAAAAAAAAAAAAAGGCAAGTGGAATATTTTCATTATTTAGTTTAAGAAAAAAAAAGTATTTCTGAGTCTTTGAAATAAACACTGCTCAAATGAGTCAGATAAATTCACATTAAGAAAATAAAATCAAATTAATACTCTTCATGGTATTTTCTTAATTGTTTTTCTATGTGAATGCTTTCCGGGTTCCACCCAACATCAGGATCTGGCTAAGATATTGAAGTAAAGCCAGAAAGGACACTTTCATGCTCTTTCCAGCTCACAATAAGCTTCTGGCATGCAACTCATTCAGTTGCCTGTGGAACAAGAAGAAGAAAGTGGCAGGGAAATGAGCATATGCCTGACAGCAGTTAGTCAGAGTCAGCCACCCAATGAGGAAGCAAATTATAGCATTCAAAGAAGCAGAAAGAAGTAGAAAAGAAAAGCACATCCAAACGCAGAGTAGTCATCCTCAGATGTGAACTTCCTGTGTTTGTTCCAGGTTCTATAATATGAACGGGCACAAGACTTCAATTGTTCATACCACAAATATGTTTATAGTTGACATTTTGAAGATACATTTCTAACGGCCTATGAATCTCTTTATGAGGTTGATTTCCACACTGCTGAGTGCTTCATTAGAAATCAAAAGTGTTCAGTGCTGCTTGGGATTAAATGCTTTTAAGAAACACAAGAAGATAGGGAATTTGTTTGAAAACAGGTAGTAGTCTGACAGCTGCTATGACAACTCATTAGTGGTTTCTGACTGCCCAAATGAAAGTTCGTAGATATTTATTTGGAATGGACGCATCTGCAAAATAATCATAAAGGCCCAAAGAAAAATTAAATAAAGCATTTTTAATAGTTATTTAACACACTTGGGCTCTGACATTAAAAACACTTGATTTTCACATCCCTGTAAAAATAGTAGAGGTGAAGGGAGTTACAGTTCTGTCCCTTCCTGAGTACTAGTTTATAGTGGGAAATAAGAAGCAAAATACTCATTTCTTACTATTTTAGTTACAGGTATATAAACCCATCAGTCCAATAACCAAAGTAAGTCTTCCTCAAATTCTGATTCCATCCTTTGTCCAAAACTCAAGATTCTAAACCACGTCCTACTTCACAGAAACTCTATATGCCGTGCCTCTTCATCATTTCTCATTTACTTCATTCAAAAAGTTTGATTAATCTAATTTTTACCACAGTCATTAAGCTCAAGGCTAGATTTTGCATTTCAGAATATTTTCGCATAAATCACAGGAAGTCTAAGGTCTGCTAACACTGAGCAGTGTTTGACCTCAAAACCTTTCCCCTTCTCCTAGTTCGCAAGGATAACTTTCCTCCTTAAAGTGAAAGACTACAGCAAGGAAAACAACTGAGATCCAATATGTTTTTTTTAAGCATTTCCTGAAGTTGTTGGCTTTCTTTTTTCCCCACCACTGGAAGATGAAGATTAATGAAAAAACAGAAACATATAACTCCCATGGAACAGATATATTTGTTTGTAGAGGAAGCATGTAATACAGTACAAAGATAAATATTTTTTCTTGTCTAACAGGTGGAAAGTCATACATGCAACTTTTTCAGAACAAAGAAAGGAAAGTCATTTCATTCCAAAGCATGTCCTGAAAAAAAAAAAAAAAAAAATCCAAATCCTTCCATGGATGAGTTTTAACATCACAACAAGCAATCAATTTTCATCAGAGCGATTTTTTTTTTTTTTTTTTTTTTTTTTTTTTTTTTTTTTTTTTTTAATTTAATTAAAACCTTTTGTTCTTCCCTTTTCTCCTCCAAGGTTCATGGAATAATTTAGGATGGAAGGGACCTCCAGAGCACATTTGATTCAACTCCCATTGAAAGCAGTTTATTCAGGACCTTGACTAGTTGCATTCTGATTATCCTAAAGAACAGAGATTCCACCTATTCTCTAGCCAATTATTTTTATTATTTAACTACTCTGACAATATTTTTTTTCCTAATAACAATTCCCCTTCTTGCAAATGGCTTTGACTCTTATTAATTGCTACGTACCTCCAATAAAAGCCTGCCTTCGTATTCTCCAAATCTCCCATCAGATAGCTGTAGAAAGTAACAAAGTCTCCCTCTAGCTTTCTCTTAAAGGCTGAAAAAAAAAAAAAAAAGAGTCAACTCCCTCAACCTCTCCTTACACTTCATGTATTCATTCTCTGATCATCCTTGCAGCCTTCTCCAGGACTTGCTCCAGAATGTTAATACAAGGCCAGATCCCCTGACTCGTGTTTTCCTTGTCCATCAGAAGTGCCAGATCCTTGCTGGAATAGTTGTCCCCTAACCCTAAACGAATCATCAAAACCAAACCAACCAACCACAAAGAGTTAACTATATTTATAACATTAAGAAGGCATTCTGGTGAGAGTTCCTAGTGTTTTGCTTTACCATTGTCTTAAAACTCTATTGCTTTGTTGTGTTTTTTTGTTGCTTTTTTTCTTTTAAATAAAGAGCTTGAATTTTGACGCAGAGGTCTCACATTGTAAAAAGATGAATGGGCAAAGATTCAAAATCTTACAAATGTCCTTAGAATATACAAGCTACAATTTCAACACTTATGTATGTACTGGGGCTACAGTGCCATTGCGTGACCAATAATGAATCTGGTATCTTTATTTCTCAGCCTAATGTCAGATCTTAATAATCTCATTTTTACGGAAAAATGAATTGACTCAATGTGAGTAACAAATAAAAGCAATTTACAAATAGCCTTGGGTTGAAACCAAACTATTTAAACTGTTGTTCAAAAAGGTCAGCTAACCAATATTTATTATAGTCAAGGGACTCATTAGCTTACATAATACCAAGACACAGGAGGAATTTATAAAGAAACTGTTTTAAAAGAAAGGCCTTCTGGAGAAAGGTTTCAATTGCCCTCATCCAAACAGAAAAAAAAATAAATAAAGAAAAAAAAAAAAAAGAGAAAGTTTCCATTAGTCATTAAAAATTTAGAAAGCCCTTACACTGTGCTTTTAAAACCATCTTAATTGTATGAAATTTCTCTATCAGAGAAGACAACGTATTCTGGTTGCTTTTTTAATTTTGCATGTTATAGAACAAAGATGTTCTCCAAAACAGCTAATTAACAAAAAACCCTTGCTTTTAATATTAATAGACCCAGATGCTGTTTATGTAAACCTCTGACCAGTTCCTACAAAGTATGTAGCATTACTTGTCAAAATTAAGCAAAACACCTCCTAAGACCTGGCTCCCAGGGTCAGTGACAGTTCAGTCTTCTTTAGAGCACTGAAAGACTAAGGGAATTCAAAAAGCTTATAGTTTTGAAGGCAGGATACCAAACATTCTCAGCATTTATTTTTCATCATAGGATGCCTTATTACCATCATATTTTCTTATCTTGCAGTATTTTGTTCTCCTATTGTACTGAAAATAGAGCTGCGAGTTCTTTGCAGTCTGCTTCCCAGTTAACTCAAAACACAGAATCACAAAATGATTTGGGTTGGAAGGGACCTTATAGATTATCAAGTTGCAACCGCCTAGTTGCCTCCCACCAGATCAGATTGCCCAGGGCCCCGTCCAACCATGCCTTGAACACCTCCATTGAGGGGGCAGCCACAGCTTTCCCAGGCAGCCTGTGCCAGTGTCCCACCGCACTCTGATTAAAGAATTTCTTCCCTGCATCTAATTTATATCTACTCTCTTTCAATTTAAATCTGTTACCCTTTGTCTTGTTACTACACTCCCTGCTAAGAGTCCCCCTCCAGCTTTCTAGTAGGCTCCCTTTAGGGGACCTACATTGTACTCATTTTAGCAGGCACGCATGAGGCACGCCAGAACAGAACAGCTACGGAGAATTCCGTAAGTGCTATCATCCTCAACAGATTGACACAGTAACAGCACCTCTCCTGCCATAACATTTTACATGCCATCTTGAGATGTCAGATATCAGCTTAAAAGCATGAATAGATATAATATCCTATACATCCTGGATGGACATCCTAGCATAGCAAATACAGAAAAGAGATATTAAGTTAACACACTTTATAAACAGCTTACATCAAATTTATTAAAATTTAGATCTTTTTATGTTTAAGTTATTATGTATCTATCCTAATATTCTGTATTTCTAAGAAGTCACAGAATATTTTATGCTCAAGTTTAATGATTCCTACAATGAACAGCAGCACATTTGGGCAACTAGCAAGTGTGGGCAACTGCATGGAATGAGATAATTAACACCAATTCAGAACGACAACATGTAGGCAATGATGTGGTACCCACATTCATTAGATAACATCAGTGTGATTTTACACATACTTCATTTTCAACCAGTTAACGATCTATTCTTTAAATAGCAACCCTGTGATTCTGAATACTTGTGCTGGTCTGAAAGAACTATAAAGGAGCACTCTTAACTCGCATTAGCCCTTTTGAAAAAGGGGTAACTTACCACAAAGCAGTATAAGTTAGAACTTGCAAACCAGTAGTTTCCATTAGGCAGCTTGTTCCCTCTGCATTAACATCAGTGCTTTCTACAACCAGTTTGAGAGTCTGCACCATCGACCTCTGTGAGTGAATCACTTTTTCCACTGGAAGACATTTTGTGTACAAGAAGTCACAGCATGCAGATGCAGAAGCTCCATTTAAAAACATTAGTGTCAAGAATATATTGAGAGGAAGTGACACACTACTTGATATAAAGGATTTTTTTTTTTTTTTTTTTAAGCCACAATGAGGAATAATGTGCAGTTTACGGGTAAGAACTTGCCAAAAATGAGTGTTCCAAACCTTTCTCCAGCAACAACAACAACAAAATCATAGCATGCCAGCTGCCAGCTCTGGTTGCTAAATTTCAGCTGGGTATAATTAGAAAAACCTCACATGTGGGAACTCAGGAATTAAGTTTGCTTAGCAAAAAATGCAGCAATCCTACAAACACTTTTCTCTAAAAGGTTTTAAAGTCCCTCACTACCACAGTTGTTTATTTCCATCTTTATAAACTACAACAAACTATTTTTCGTTCTAGACTTCTCTTAACATCCTGTTACAAGGTAGGCTAATAGTCTCAGAGACATTATTTTGGTCTTTGCAACTGCATCTTTTGTTATGATCAACTTTTGCTTAACTAAAAGCACCTTCCATCTTCATAAGTTCCTCGCTGAAATCAAGGTATGCCTTTCTTGAACACTGTTCTTTACTCAATAAAGTTCATCTGACATCCACAGCAACCTACTGGCAGTCAGCAAAGATTACTAGCTATCAGCTCTTTCCAGCACATAATGAAAGCAGTATATTAGGATCACTTTGCATGCATTACGAATTTCTTATTTGCCAGACAAAGGCATAATTGATAATATCAGTTAATAAAAAACATATGTCCAAGTTTTAATACGCTATTAGCAACAATGGTGGGGAAACTGAAAGCTAAATTTAACAGTAGTAAGCAGCATTGTCTTTCGAAATTAATTAAAAGACTTAAAATAGTTTTGGAATTTTAATCATGAAACTGGAGCTTCCACTAGAATTGCCTGCCTGCCTGCCAAGAGAATCACAGAGCCTCAACTACTGCTGTTTACGATTTCCATATTCCAATAATTTTTCTGTAATAAAGCCACAAAACCACTGGATATTTATTCCTATTGGCTTTTCCGAAGTTCACAGATCCATCAAGCATCGTCTTCAGGAAATACGTTGTTCGTCTTTGACATCATTAGCCTACTTATGTTCCCTTCAACCTTTTAAGGAAGAAGAATTTGGTTACAGACGAATATGCTTCTGCACGTCACCTTTCTTTGTCATTATAGCACCAGTGCACCATATGCAATCAAGGAACTTGTTCAGGATAAACCAGAGAGCAGATGAACATATTCTGCAGACGGTCCCTCCTGTGAACCTAGTCCACATGGTGTAAGTCTGCACAGTCCTTCCCTCCCATATATTTCACATGGATACTCCTACATCATACATATGAAAACAAGACAAAGAAACAATCGCTTCTCTAGGTAATTTGTTCTAATCTACAACCATAACCACTAAGAAATACAGCTGTATATCTCATCTGAATTTCTTTGACTAGTTTTGAGACACTAACTGTAACTATGTCTCTCTCTAGATCAAAGACTTCCGTCCATCACCAACTTAACCTAACTTGGAAGCTTTCTTTCATTATCAATCAAATAACTTATGAAACACCATGCCTTTCTGTAAAATACTTTCCACTTCTAAATTTATTATGATACTATTCTGATTTTTTGGCATCACCCCTCTCCTCTTGGGGAAACATAAGACTGAATTTGATGTTAATCTTCCCAGCTCTACAGAAGTTGTAAAGAACCATTCTCTCTCTCTTTTCTGCTGCTGTTCTGTACTTACAAAAATTAGGAAATCTGCTAGCCATTACAGTTTCAATGTGTACTGCTATATCGTGAAGGAAAATACAACGATAACAGCAAGGTAGCAAAGTCTTCGGCTGCAACAAACGAGGACAAGCCCAAACACAGTGGCTACAGATACAGAAATGAAGGAAAAAAAGCTGCTTACCTACAGAAGGCTTCAAGCATGCAGGAATCTCCAGAGCAAGATACCCTTGCTTCCACTGGCAACCATTAAGTGAAGTCTGGGAAGGGGTGGCTCCTGGCTCTACCCATTCTGGTCACTCAGATAGATTGCATGCACCTGAGCTCCGCTGGGTTGGCCCTGCCTTCCCACCAGGTGGTCAATCACTGGTTCAAGCTGTGACTTAGCATTTCTGCTACACCTGCAAATTAAGTCTCAATATTTTTCTCATTACAATGCCATAATACTTTTTAGCTTTCCCACCCTACAGAATTTTCATTTTATATTGGCCTTTTAACTGTTTGAACCACTGCCCTTGACCTACTTCTTGTCCCACACAAAAACAAAGCAAAACAACAACAAAAAAAAGATGCCTAAGTGAAGGTACAAAATTTGCTGCTTATCCACTGAACTTGGTAGCTATTAGTTATGAAACACTAAAGCCTATTAAAGTCATTTTCTGTAACAGAAAGATCTTATATTTTGTTATTACTCTTAGTAAATTAAGGCAGATCTACTTTATTTTTTAGAAAGATAAAAATGTAACACAGAGCTATTAAAAAAAATCACTAAATCTCATAGTTTTGTCTATTAGATCCACCATAAATGCTCTTTAAGTTGTATTTTTATATAAGTTATATTAAGTTCTATCTTTAAGTTATATTTAATTTATTTTGAAAGACAAAAGGCACATCCATTTCTCTTTCAAATCTCTCCAAGATATCTTGATACAATGGTCAGCATGAGAGAAAACTACAGCATAGTGTTTGCATTAAAAAAAAAACAAAAACAAAAAAAACCCAAAGCCACTACACCCACCAGTATTCGATTCCCTTCCCTATAAAATTTAGCAGTAGGAATTGAATTACTATCTTCTACTCAGTTCCATATTACATTGCCTTGAGCAGTACAGGTGCTCAAAATACAAATTATACTTAGAGATCATCCACGTTTTCAGAGGTCGCATGTTTTGGGTTGTTCCTTTCTTCTTCCTTCAAGTAACCTACAAGATTCCTAACTATAAATTGTTCCTTCCAGCAACCACACGCCATGATTTTGCTGGCTATTTTCATTCATTAATACCAGCTGCTTCACAGTGCCTGGAAGTAACAGAAAAAATATGCATATATGTTTTAACCATATGGTAAAATCTGATGAAGGATGGCCTTTTATGTAGGATAATTCATAAACCTGCAGTAAAATTCAGTCTTATGCAAAAGACAGAGCTAAAAGTATGTTCTCCACTTGAACTTTCAAGGACCTGCATCAGTTTAAGTTTCTGAGACAAACTCGGACACCTGAGTTTGCTCCCATAAAGTCAGCAGAGCAATATCTATTTTCCATCATGATGGACTTTCTGATCAAGTGGAAATAGGACTTACAATGACCTTCTGTACAGAGATAGATTTTACCATTGTGCTTGAAGATAGCAAAGCGTCATGCTGCAAACCAAAAGGTTCTCTTCCAACTCCCACTAGTCATGATACACTTCAGTTCCAGAAATATTCTCTTGCCACTATTTGCAGATATTAACATATAGATAGAAGTTCAAAAGGGATGAGAGCTGCAAAAACTATGCATTCAAATGACATGCCCTAGTAGTCTAAGAGCAAAACAAAATTAAGAACATTACATTCTAGCACTTAATTATGTACATAAGACTACTTAAGCAAATATTTTTTTCAATGCACATGAAATGTTTCTTACCTCGTAACCACAATAATCCTGAACACAGAATCATAGGACACATCAAAACAAAATAAATCAAAATAGAGAGGGAACTGGGGTTTACAGAAGAGTAACAACAGAAGGTAGAAAAGAGCCACTTATGAATTAGGAAAGATAGGATCAGAATCGAAACTAATTCCAGGAAACTAATTCTTTTTCCAGAGGTTACAGACCACTTCAACATAAGTGTTATCTTTCCAGGATGATCTGTCAATTCAATTAATAGATTATTTTTAATTTGCTACATAGAAAAAGAATAGGGCTTTTGTTTGTCCTCCCTCTACTGTTTTTTCTTGATGTTGTTTGTTTGTTTAAGACTATGTACACCTGTGAATGTTCTTTCACAGCAGTCTCTGGTATTTTCCCTGTTCCCACTTTATTCAAGTTTTACGTATTTTTTCACTAATATAACCAGTATATTCTCCAGCATAAGAGAAATGGATACTTGAAACCTGCAAAGGGCTGAGCATTCATTTCTGCTGTAGCTAAATCAAAAAACTATAAATAGAAAAATATATTTATATCACCTGGAACACAATGTTTTCAAGACTTACCACTAGCTTAAACAGAAAAAAATATATATAAATGTGAAACAAAATTGTATCCAATTGGATGATTAATTGTCATAGAATTCAATTGTCAAACTTCTTAGACAAAAATTGTCAGACTAGAATTAATCTCTTAAAATGACAACAAATTCTATTTCACTAAGTGGTTATTAAAACCACTTAAAAGAACATTAAAACATTAAAAGAGGATTTTTTTCATTATGTTCTCCATGAACATCAAGATCATTTAAACCATGATTTCTCTATTCTTTGTGTATTACAAGAGAAAGAAATGTAACACCTTTAGAAGAGCCTTTGTGAAACCCTGAACAGTAATTACATCTAACAGCAGGGAGAATCTCTTTATCTTTGGCTTAACAATGGTATTAACTACTCTTTCTTTGCTATTGTGCATGTACACCATTATATTAAAACCATTGTAGTTGTATGTGCACTGATAAGTATTGCAAGGCCACACTGAGCATGCATCTCTGAGTAGGGAAGGTATTCTGCTGAATGCTAAAAAGCTTCCTTTATCTGCTATATGTTTACTTTGGAAATATTACTCATTGATAAAAAAACACAGCACACATTAAGTTTTCCCAGCTTTACATACCCAGAGGTGTGTATTTTTAAGATCACATTAGCCAGCTAATACCTTCTTGTAGAGCCACTGAGAAAAAAAATCTTCCTCAGAGGGCAATTCCAAGAAGGCTTCACATTCTGAATCACCACATAGAGAAACCAGTGCATGCCTCTCGCTCTCTACTGATGGTGTTAAGGTTTGGTAGGGTAACTTTTATAAGTAACACTGAGTGACCTGAAAGTGCTTACAACAATATCTTGTATACTGCCTTAATCTCAAAAAAATCCTACATTCTAAGTCTGAAAAAGACCCTATTTGCTCTTCCTCACTGATTTTAATACTGCTGACTTTTGATATACAAAGGTTGGCTGCGTGGTAGAAATGTTTTCCTAACCAACAGCAGACGAAGAATGACACAAGATCTCAAAAATCATGTATTACTTCTGCCAGAGGCTAACACCTGTCCCCTGCACAAAATAACCAAGCTAACTAACCTGAATTAACTTATTAAGTAATATGGCAAAGAGCTCATTTTTCCCTATCAGTACTAGCCTGCAATCCCAATCAGGATAATGAAGTGGATTTGTCACTGAAGAAAACAAATGAAAATCAGTGGAAACATATGTTGTGTTTAAGATACTTTCTCTGTTTTCACATTTCTTTATAAGAATATACATGTATTTACAAACAAGAATACTTTAACCTCTCTTGAACGTGAATATTAAAAATATATATATATGCTTCCCAACTGTCTCCTCAGAACCAGATTTGTTTTCTTTTGAAAGCAGTGTTTTCAAAAAGCTCCTTTGTATTTCATTTAATCTGATTTATGTATTTATTTACATTTAATCCTACAGTTACTTACTCTTAGTACTAGAAACCTGTAGAACTAATTCAGCAGGCCAGAAAGGACCAGTAAAAAAAACCTCACCTCCTGATCAGAAGTTAGGAAAAATCTCATCTAGTAAAACAATTTAATCATATTGAGTCCACTGTTTGATCACCATCAGGCAACTTGTCCCGTGGACAAAGGCTAGCATTTCTGGTGCACACTCCCTGTGAATGAAAAAATCACCACAACATGAAAAACAAGTACAAATTTAGTTTGAAATTTTTTACTTCTAAAATTGCTGAAAACTTACATGTGTTCTTGATGTGAATTTAACTATTTAAACCACAAATAAAACCATTTATGGATGATGAAATAATAATCTTCTGTGTATAAATCCAAATAATCCAAAAATAACACAGTGATAGAAGTCAGAAGCAAGAATTTCTTCTAAGAAGGGATGAAAAACTCAATCTAACAGTAGAAAAATGAACATAATCTTACGTCCCTCAGGCTCTGGTAAAAAAGAATTCCTTAACATAAAACAGTATTCTATAAAACCAGGTGACTCAGAAAAAAGTAAACCAGTATGCAAAAAAATTTGCTACAGAGTTACAGAGAGAGAAAATTAATCATCTAATTTGTTATTTTCATTATGACAAAGAGTGTGTGATGTCACTATGCTAAATATTGGCTTCCACCAGAAGGAGATGAACTGAAGGCCAACAAACCAAAAATCAGTGGCTAGGCGCTCTTTCTTAAAAAGAAAATATGCAGCAGAAGGGACCATGTTTCAGAAGTTTTACCCAGATAAACAAACTCCACAACTGTCTGCGTAAAAGAAAATTTAAATAAGCCTGTAATTAAATCCTATTTGGTTCCTGCTCTTTTATTTGGGCAAAAGATCAGAGCAAATGCAAATAAGTGTGTCACATATGAACAGCAGGACTAGTTGGTATTTAATTTTGATGAAGACTATTACAGTCCTGCTTGTTCAGCAGAACTCTATAAAATGAAGATTTTTATTTTTCCGCACACTTTTAAGGGCAGCATTCATTCTTATCAAATGGGACAGAAAGAAAAAAAAAAATCCCTCAACAACCACTGAATTTTTCAGGTAGTATCTCAATCAAGTCATTCTAATATGTAAGACAGCAAGGCCTGTTTCAGAGCATCAGGAAAAGGTCAAGGAGTGACTCCTGCAGTGAAATTGCAATGTCCTTTTTTTTTGTATTTACAAAATGACTTTGCCATGAATGGATTGACCTCAGAATTCAAGAGGGTATCTGCCAGCATTGACTGCTGTAGAAAAAAGGTCCAAATGACTTCAAAGTCTACCGACGCAAGAATGCACCAAGCTAGCTGTTCCTACAGCAGCCTGTTCTTGTGGAAACCCACACTGCATTTTGCACTACACCCATTAAGTTAATCCCAGAGCATGGCAACAAGGGCAGATCTGCCGTTATCCCATTG